AAAACAAGCAGAAGAGAACAAGAGTAATAGAATAAACAACATCACAATGATATATGGGAATATGACAGTAAATACTAAATATTAAACATTATTGTGCAGCACATAAGATCAACAGAACACAGTGTGCTTTGAGGTAGGAGCCAAAAAGGGTGTAGTTCGTGGGTGTGATCACCCGTGTGTACACCTGTGAGCATGGACGCGCTTGTATTTAAAAGGTTCCTTCATGTAATAATCTGCTAGAGGGTGTGGGGAGCCACAGCCCCGTCCTCCAGGGCATGAAGCAGGTATGGAGGAGATCAAAACTCCAGACATCCAGAGGCCCCCAGAACACAAGAGACCAAGGAAGACCAACAGAGGGGCAGCCGCGCCACTGTCCCAGAAAGAGCTGAGGAGAGTCCCAGATGAGGGCTCACTCAGCAGCCGCGGAGCAGAAGCCAGGGGGGTTGCAGTGACGCGCCCGTGAGCTCCGCCGGCAGCCAGCCGTGCCTGAGTGACCGAGCCCCAGGCCGAGAGGCCGGGGGCACCCCACCTCCGAAGGGGCCCGAGCGAGCCCCAGGCTCCAGGCCCCGATAAGCGGCCGCCAAGGAGTGAGCCGGTGTGTACCTGGACGCCCATCCCCGGACACAAAGAACCACCAACGCACCGATGTCTGAGGGAGTCCGCCACTGGCAGGGGAAGTGGTGGTGGGTGGAGATAGGCCTCCAAACCTTGGAGGGCCTGAGATGTCCCCAGAGAGGTGGCGTCTGATACCCAACCTGACATATAGACACAGACATACAGGCACACACAGACACAAACATCCATTCCCACCCTCATGCTCTCATATGCACTTACTCCACACTCAACCAACGTGGAGACAGACATAAAGAGACGCTGTACACACGATCACACTCCCCAAGCGTACTCTAAGCATAAACATGTTAAGGTACCAGAGTCTGTTGCTGGTGTGCTTCCAGATCAGTTACCAGCTCTTGTCTTATGGCTCCTTTCTACATGCAGTGACAGGCATGGCTGTTGGAGGTGATTTAAACTGGAAGTCTTTTACCCACGTTTGATAGTGGACAAAGATTTATTAAAGTTATTCTAAAACCTCTGATTCTTTTTCCCTTTGTGCCCTCTCCTGTGTGGACTATCAGCCCACTCAGGTACTATGAAACAGTAACTGTGCCATGCTGCTGCTGGTAACACTGCCTAAGAGAAAATGCAAAGACTGTCTTTAAATCTCACTATATTTAGCAGCTAACTGTAACACGTACAAGCCAAAAGGCTGATTCTGTTCATCTGGCTGCAGCGTTTGCAGTGAGAGAAACGTTTCATCATCATTCAAGTCGGTCAGAAAACGCTAATCCAGATGAACAGAATCAGCTTTTTAGGATTTCCTTACCTGGATGGTTGAGCATGCATCCAGACAACATGTAGCATGTTTTGCAGCGATAAAATCATTACATTTAGTGTGAAACTGATGAGCAAGCCTGAAAAGAAAACAGCATTTTTCGAATCGACCGCCTCACTCTCTAAATGAGATTCTTGGTGTAAAGGTTTTTTAAGAATGAAAATGTCTCCTGCACTTCAACAATAATTAAAAATCATTCAATTCTGCCTAACTCCCGTGTACTTCCTGCAACTAACTGATAATGTTCACAGAATGAAAGTTAAACCTTTAATGAACATTTACAAACTGTGGTGTCTGTTATGAACCCGCCCCTCCTTTTACCCCATCGGCCTTTAACAGCTGAGGGGTAAGAGCAGCTGATCCTGAAGGTTCAGAGGGGAGGAACTCAGATTGTCGATGAAACGACCCACACTGGATTGATTCATGTCCTCCATCTTTATTCTTTTGATGTCTCTGTTTCAGAGGTATTGATATGGAGAAGCTTACTGACAGCCACTGATTCAGCTTCATTTGAAAACAAAAAGAGGAAAAGTGATTGAAATCTTCACAGAAAGCTCCAAAATTATGTTTCTGTGACTTGACTTCAGTGGTTTTTGTTCTTGACTTTGTGTTTAGTGTGAAAGACTGTTGCCTACTGAATGTCCTGATGCATGCTCGGTCATCCAGGTAAGGAAATCCTAAAGTTGATTCTGTTCATCAGGACGTTTTCAGTGGGAGAAACGTTTCATCATCATCAGGTGACGTCTTCAGTCTCAGCTGACTGCAGGTTTCCAACCTTTAAACAGGACATTTGCACAATGACTGAAACCAGCCCACTGAAGGAACAATGGGCTGGGAGGTCAGTTCCTTAATCTTAATTATGCAAATTGTCATGATCATTGATCAACAACCATGAGTACCATTCACAGAGAGCTGGGGAATGGCTGCAATCACAGCATTGTAAGATGGTGACAGATGTACCCTTAGGCCCCTCCTCCATTCAGAGATGGTCTTTCCCTTTACACGTAAATGGCCTTCTTGACTCCGCCCTCAAACCAGCGTTCCTCCCTGTCCAGGATGTTACATCCTCATCATTGAAAGAGTGTCCACTGGCCTGTAGGTGTAAATAGACTGCAGAGTCCTGGCATCTTTACCACAGTGAATGCTTAAATTGTATTTATTGGCATATACCTGACATTCAAAGCTAAGATTCAGCACACTGTGTTAGAGGCTGGGACTTGATGAATTCATCAAACATCCATCTTTTAAGTATTAAATTTCAAATTGCATTAATAAACAGCCATCATGTCAAAAATAAAACTGGATCATTATTTATGTCCAGCTGAGAATGAATCTGGGCGCTCATGTTACAATAAATTAACTCAAATCAAATCTACAGTCTTAGCAGCACACAGTGATACAAGGGATGAGAGAACTGACAGCTATTACTTTAATCACCCGGTCTCAGTTTTGTGATGTAATGTGGTAACATCTGGACTGCTGTGTTTACTCTCACCATTTTTATTGCTAGTTTAAAGGCTGTAGATATATATATATATATATATATATATATATATTAGGGGTGCAACGATACACAAAATTCACGGTTCGGTTCGGTTCGATACTTTGGTGTCACGGTTCGATATTTTTTCGATACAAAAAAATGTTCATGCCTTTTTAAATTTGTCATTTATTAAAATTATAAATATATATTTTAACTCAAAAGTACAGTTTTTAAATTTAACCCTAACCCTTGTGCGTGTTTTTTATTTTGACAGCGAATGCGCACCTGCGGACCACTTATGTGCAGCCCTGGTTATTTAGCTCGTCATATTGCAGCCACAGAAATTCTTTTGTCCATGAAACCATAAAGCTGCACTTTCTTTTTGCCTTATAGTCTGATTTGTCATAACTTCTCCGTTTCGTGGTAAGCTTTTCTTTGGCTGTCACTTCTTCACCCTGACGTGTCTTATTTGGCTCAGCAGAACTGAAATGCTTTTACACACTCACTCACATAAGCTCAGCGATTCTCTGCGCGATCAACCTCTCACATGCGGGAGATTTCACTTGTCATGTTTGCATAGTAAGCTAACGATTAATAAGACGATGTCAGAGGAATTGGTGCACAAATTATCATCACTCACAGATCAGTGCTGTCGCTCTCTATACACAGTTAGCACGATTGCAAAGTGAAAGCAAAAAAACAAGCGCAAATTCAAACGCGATTTCAATATGTCACATATTGACAGTGGCTCACCGATGCCAATGACATAATTACCCAGCTACATTTCTGAAAGAATGCAAAAGCATTGACATATATTTTTCCTTCCTACAATAGCCCGACTGGCAGGGCAGAGATAGATTTTGGTAGCCCGACTGGAAAAATTGCTAGCCCCAGGACGCCGGGCTAGCGATTTTGCGAGCCCTGTATCTGATTGAGGAATCACTCATCTTTGGAAAAGAGAGTTTATTACAGAGAAATGGCTCTTTCCAAAATAAAAGCTATACTATCCGCTTCTTCTGGGCTATATTCTCAGCAGCATATTAAACATATAAGGAGAATCATGTGCTAACAGCTGTCTAAATGACTCGGCTAAAGTTAGTAGCATGCTTGTTGTTTTTGTCTTTGCACTAGGATGATGTCGGCGTAAATGTGCAGTCATATTCGTTGTGTTCCCACTAGTGCTTTCAGGTTAATCTCGTTGAAATGACCTTAACGCCACAACACGGCAAATCTCCGTTAACGAGCTACTGCCGATCGCCCCGTGCATGGGGCTAGACGGCCAACACGTTAACGAGCTAACTGCGCTAACGCACTAGTTCCCACCCATGTAATTGAGCATCGCGTGGCACATCCAACATACTGTTTTACTTTAGTCCATGACTCGCTTACCTTCAGGGTCATACGTCACATGAAAACCAAAATAATTCCAAACGCCAGATCTGAATGAGGGTGGGGGAGGTCCATGTTGCAAGTAGAGCTTAACTTCTGTCTCGCTAGCTTGCCCTGCGCTCTTCCTTCTGACTATGCTGTCTGTGTTGAGCGCTCAGTGAATCTGCGCTCGACAGTGCAGCCTAGGCGGAGTAGTCGAACGCAGATTCACTGAGCGCTCAACACAGACAGCATTGTCAGAAGGAAAATTGATAAAATAAATTACAAATGTTGTATTGTTCGATACATATGCGTACCGAACCGAAAGCACTGTATCGAACGGTTCAATATCGATATATATATATATATATATATATATATATTGTTATGATCCAGTGTTGTGTTTGTTTTGTGTTACTCTTCCCACCAGAGGATGGCTGTGGGTTTTTGTTTTCCCCTTTTCTCTCTTAGGAGGTGGACACCTGGGCGTGCCTGCTGGGGATCTGGGTGGAGTCTCGGCCTATCCTCGGATTGGATAATTGACTAATAACCTCCAGTTTTTAACTACCAGATGACAGCCACCTGGTTCCTCTCTCCTAACCTCCACCATTCAACCAAGAATCGTTACAGTGTAGAGTTTCTTTGACAAAGTGATTAGCCATATATATATATATATATATATATATATATATATATATATATATATATATATACATACACACACACACATATATAAACAGGTGAAATTAATTTTCGATATGAAGTATTTATTAATGGATTGATAATTCATTTTGAAATATTGATTTAAAAATAGTGTTTTTATTTTAAATGATAAAATAATAAATTACTTTAGTAATGTTTCGATACACGTGGCTCTTGTGGTCCTCCATAGCTGATGAGAGTGAGCGATGATGCTAATGACATCAAGATGTTTTCATTACTTCTGAACTTCATAAATTTGCCTCCAACAAACCCCCCAAAAAGAAATCCAGAACTAAACGTGAATCTGAGCATTTTTAAAGAACACACACTGAAAAGACACTCAAGTAAAAAAAAAAGAAAAAAAGTTTCTTCCTGTCTGAAGTTAGTCGTTGACCAATGAAAACGCTCTGAGCATTTAATTCATCAAAGAAACATGAAATCATGATTATGTTTGAAATAAACTTCATAACTCAGCCGCTGAAATCACTAGGTGAAGTGTACAAACACAACTACTTTGTCATTGTGAGGCCGAGGCATTAGCACTCGGTTTCGGGCTGGTTTCGGACTGATACACTTGTGTCTGTTCAGCTGATAATTCCAGGTGAACGTCTTGAGACAAGTACTGCAGCTGAAGTTCTTCTCCCCACTGTGAATTTTCATGTGAGCGTTCAGGGCCGAGCGGCAGCTGAAGGGCTTGCTGCACTCGGAGCAGCTGAACGGTTTCTCTCCCGTGTGAAGCGTCATGTGGTTCGTCAGCGCCGCCTTCTCCATGAAGCATCGGCCGCACTCGGAGCAGCTGAACGGTTTCTGGCCCGTGTGAGTCCAAAGGTGTTTTTTAAGACTTCCGCTCTGAACGAATCTTTTGTCGCACTTCGGACAACCGAACGGTTTCTCTCCTGTGTGGCTCCGTTTATGCCTTAACAGGTGTGCCATGCGCTTAAACGATTTCCCACATTCGGTACAGATGAGCGCTTCTTCGCCCGAGACACATTTCATATCACCTGCGAGCACTTTGCTTTCTTCCGAGCTTGAAGGTTCACTGCTCTCCTCCAGATCTCCTTCATGGACCTCCGTCTCCATGTCCTTGTCCTCAGGATCTAAACCTGGATCTGGTGCTGGTCTGCCAGCATCCTCTCCTCCCACAGAGTCTCTGCGCTTCTCAGTCAGGGTGTGATGAAGCTTAGAGGACTCAGGTTTCTCTTCATCCTCTTCACTTTTTACAGCAACAGGACTGAATGTGAACTTGATGATGTCGACCTCCTCCTGTTCCTCTTTGATGAATACTCCCTCCTGCTCCTCTTCATCACCAACTATTACCTTCTGGACATCTGGAGGTAAACCTGAAACACAGACATTAACACTGACATTACTCAGTGTCACTGAAACCACAAATACTACATGCAGATGATTTGTGACAGCTTGGACTTGTTATTAATCTGCTTGGTTGCACTGTATTCACCATCTGCTTTAACACAGTTTGCAGACACAGCAGTGGACACAGGCGGGAAGTAAAGCAGACGCCCAAGAAACACTTCCACTCAGACGTAGAGTGGCACAAATGTGTTTCATACACTGAGCACACATACAGGTTTTATTGAGATTACTTATTTTATGTTTCTATGATGAAGTGAAGAATGATCAGAAGCATTTCATAAGATTCAAAGACCTTTATTGGAAAATAGAGCCAGGATTTACAGTGGTGAACCCTCTTCTTAACTTCAGCTGGATATCAGCTTCAGGACCAAGTCCTGATTGATGGACATCATTCCTGCCTCCTCAGAGCTCCAAGCTGATCTTAGTTTTCCTTTTAAAGGAATGCTTGGCTCAGCAGAGCTCTGACTGTTTGTCAGCCTGGCTACAGTGCTGCAGAGAAATCTAGGCTTGTTCTTATTTCCTTCAATCAGTGAGATGTTCTAGGTTTAAAGGGGGCTTTTTTATGAAGCAGCAAACTGGCTCTCCAGGCTAAATGATGATCTTCTAAATTAGCATGACGCCATTTCTTCTCCAGATGCGCATTTGAGAATTATACCAGGGTCAAGTACTTCTAATCTGAGGCTTTCTTTTTCACAGGAGCTACAGTATCTAGAGTTGTACGCAGTGAAGAAGTAAAACTATTAGCAAGATAATCGACCTTTGTGGGAGTTCTAGCTGCTCTACACTGTGTTGGCACGAGGCACTGAAGATCACAACAGTGGAGGAAATATATCCTTACACTTAGTTACAGCGCTTTCAGAAAGACATCTTCTTTCTCTCACCCCAACCAATCACAGCAGATGGCCCCGCCCCTCCCTGAGCCTGGTTCTGCTGGAGGTTTCTTCCTGTTAAAAGGGAGTTTTTCCTTCCCACTGTCGCCAAAGTGCTGCTCATTAGGGGTGGGGAAAAAAATCGATACTGTGTAGTATCGTGATATTTTGTTTGCTAATAATGTATCGATACAGGGACAGCAGAAATCGATATTTTGTTACAAAAAAGGTTTTTGTGCTCTGACTTCAGAGCATGTTGATCCTTTTTCTGAGCAAGAATCCTGACATTCCTTCACTGTCCAAATGTGTTTAACTTTTTTTTGGCAGCAATAAACATGACAGTTTACTTATTTTAATTTAAGACATGTCTTATTTTAATTAAGTTTAAAACTTTTTTATTTAATGTAAAATTATATTTTGTTTTAATTTACTTTCAAATTCTTCAGTTGCTGAATGGGCTGCATAGTTTTCATAAATAAATAATAATAATATAATATATTATATTATTATAATAATATAATAATAATAATAATAAATAAATAAATAAAATTGCAATAATATCGTATCGTACGTTAAGTATTGTGATAATATCGTATCGTGGGATGTATAGTGATTCCCACCTCTATTGTTCATAGGAGGTCACATGATTGTTGTATGTATGTATTATTGTAGGGTCTACTGTACAATATATAGAACCTTGAGGGAACTGTTCTTGTGATTTGGCGCTGTGTAAATAACAGTGAATTGAATCTACTCCTGTGTAATCCAAAAATATAAAAATAAAATACATGTTATTGCATTAAATCTTCTTTTCTTCTATTTTCCTGCTGGAGAAGATCCAGTATAACCTTTTCCCTCCTCCTTAGGATTTCTGTGACTAAAACTCTCTAATATCAGCTGAACTTAAGTAAACACTGAATAATCACAATCCTAAAAGTTGCAATACAAAAACAGACATTACTAATGCAAACTAAAACTTACAGAGCCCTACAGAAACTTTGACCAGGCGTTTGGACCTGCCTCAGTCTGGAATAGCCAAACTCAAAATGTACCCATCTGGACAGCATGATGGAGCTCTCTGTGTTATTGTTGGGTCTAGAGCAGGGCGATATGACCAAACATATTTATCACGATATACATTTGAAAATTTGCGATAACGATATAACTGACGACATAACTAACACTAGACAAAATACTTTACAACTCCACAACTTTATTAGTGCAAAAAACCCATCAATGTATTTTCACTTAAACAAGCAGCTGTTTTTTATGTGCATTAAAGTTATATAAAAATGTAACAGTGCAAATTCTTTGCTGACAGTTTAACCAAAAGGCATTTCCAGTGGAAACTGGCCGACATATCCTCAGCATAACCATGTGTAATATCCACAAAACTTAAAAAGAGGTTATACACACACAATATGGTAATATTATGTTGAAGCACAGTACGTATCACTCCGCGAGGCTCCGCCTACGATGCCGTAATGCTCCCACAATCCATCAAGCGGTGCGGCTTCGTAGCTTAGCAAAGTTTTACTAAAACATTTGACAGATTTTCGAGCGCCGTGCACATAAAATCGTTTCCAGGTCAGTAAACACAACCAGAGTTCATACATAAGGCACACGGGATTATAAGGGGCTCTGTCGACTTTCAGAAAAATCAAAGGATTGATTTTAAGTGCGCCGTATTTTCCAAACAACACGGTAATAACGACGGCCCGCTAAGATAAGATAAGATAAGATAGAACTTTATTAATCCCTCGGGTGGGTTCCTCTGGGAAATTCGATTTCCAAAAAAGCACAGCACCGACAGAAGTTACAGAGTTACAGAATATTATATATATACACACACACACACACACACACACACACACACACATATATAAATACAGAGACAATATAAATAAAATATACGAAGGGGATAAATAGAATAAATAGGAATAAAAAATAAAAATCCAAGTGAATTGCACATTTCAAGTATTGAGGTCTATTGCGCTAGCATGCGCTACCAAAAATAGTGCTTTGTTGTGTATCTGACGGACGAAAGCTAAACCAGTTCCACACCACTGAAGCTGCAGCATTTTTACAAACCAGTTCTGGTTCATCCGTTTCATTCAACGATCCGCTTTCACCCTTCTCATTCTCTGTTGCCGCCATGCTTTTTCCGCCATGTGCGTATGAAAACAAAGGCTCTGCACATGCGCGTTTTACCCATATTCTATTTTATATTTCCTTTTCTTATCGTTGCCCAACATTACGATATGGTACGGTATGATATGTCCCAGCCCTAGTTGGATCTTTAACTTACTGTATAAAGCACCTTAAGGCAACTGTTGTTGTGATTTGACACCATATAAATAAAATTGAATTGAACTGAAAAACGCAAAAGTGATAACTAAATGGCTCAGAGATTTAACATTTGGATCCATGGCCTGGAAACTCCCAACATCTTAATCATCAATCATAATTAAACCAGTATTTAAAAAGCAGAAGCCCAACTGAGGCAGCACTGATCTCCACTCAAGAAAGGTCAGCACTGTAAACACAGATTCTTCACACCATACCTGTGCGATATGACCAAAATCTCATATCCCGATATAAAATATTTATCATCCCAACAGCGATTGCATTTGTCTCTAACCATCAGGAACCTTCACGTTAACTTTTATCGAATGGAAAAGTGTTAGCGTTCATCCTGCAGCTTCACTGTGTTTGTTATGCTAACATAGCTGTGTCGCTAGCGATCACGTGGCACATCATTATATACCAGCTAGCCCAACTTCAGTAACCCTACAAACGTCACTGCTGTTTAGTTTCCTGTCTTCATTTATGTTGGAAGTGATAGCAGAGCTGTACGTTTGAATGTTTCAGAAATCTCTCAGTCAGAACATGCTTTAACAGGTAACTAGCGAAACTAGCGAGCTAACTTCCGCTAGCTTCCTGCTAACTTCTAACTCTGTTAAATGTCATAAATTCTGTTTTCATGGATGCCTGGAAGTTAAACTGAATTGTTACACCTGGTAAAGCAGCAATGCTGATCATTTTATTAAAGATGAAAGAATTTAGACAGTTTTTAACTCTCAGTGATGCCGCAGTGTTTGTTTGACTTTGGGACCTGAAGAGACGGAGTTTAGGACCCAGATTACCATGAGACACCATGAGACCGGACAGTGTGCGCACCGCGGATGACGTCAGTGCGCACACTGTGTCTGAGGAAGATGTGCGGAAGTGCTTCAGGAAGGTGAACGCGCGCAAAGCTACTGGGCCGGACGGGATTCCCGGCCGCGTCCTCAAGTCATGCGCGGCTCAGCTGGCTGGAGTGTTCACACACATCTTCAACCTTTCCCTCTCTCTTTCTGTAGTCCCAGCCTGCTTCAAAATGGCCACCATCGTCCCTGTACCCAAATCCTCCACCATCTCCTCATTGAACGACTGGCGACCTGTAGCCCTGACCCCCATCGTAAGCAAATGCTTCGAGAAGCTGGTCAGGGACTTCATCTGCTCTGCACTACCCGACTCACTGGACCCTCTACAGTTAGCATACCGCCACAACAGGTCCACTGATGATGCCATAGCCCTGACACTACATACTGCCCTGTCACACCTGGAGAAGAGAGACACGTATGTGAGGATGCTGTTTGTAGATTACAGCTCAGCATTCAATACCATCGTTCCCTCGAAGCTGGACAGGAAACTGCAGGATCTAGGACTGAGCAGCTCCCTCTGCAGCTGGATCCTTAGCTTCCTGTCTGACAGACGCCAAGTGGTCAGACTGGGCAGCATCACCTCATCCCCCATCACACTGAACACTGGTGCTCCACAGGGGTGTGTACTGAGCCCTCTCCTGTACTCACTCTACACCTACGACTGCACAGCCACTAACAGCTCCAACATCATTGTGAAGTTTGCGGACGACACTACAGTGGTGGGTCTTATCACCAACGGTGATGAGACGGCTTACAGGGAGGAGGTCAGCGCCCTGACCCACTGGTGTCAAGACAACCATCTCACCCTCAACGTCGCAAAGACAAAGGAGTTGATAGTGGACTTCCGGAGGTGCAGAGAAGTACACACCCCCATCACCATCAACGGCGCTGCTGTGGAGAGAGTGAGCAGCTTCCGGTTCCTTGGAGTACACCTGGCTGAGGATCTTACGTGGTCAGTACACACAAACAAAACAGTGAAGAAGGCGCAGCAGCGCCTCTTCTTTCTCAGGAGACTGAAAAGATTCGGCATGAGCCCCCGCATCCTCAGGACCTTCTATCACTGTGCCATTGAGAGCATCCTCACTGGATGCATCACCACCTGGTACGGCAACAGCACCGCCTACAACTGCAAAGCTCTCCAGCGAGTAGTGCGGTGCTCTGAACGGATAATTGGAGGTGAGCTTCCCTCCCTCCAAGACATCTACAGGAAGCGGTGCCTGAGGAAAGCGGGGAGGATCATCAAGGACTCCAGTCACCCCAGCCATAAACTGTTCAGACTGCTTCCATCAGGAAGGAGGTTCTGCAGCATCCGGTCCCGTACCAGCAGACTGAGAGACAGCTTCTTCCATCAGGCCATCAGACTGCTGAACACTTCATAGACACCTCAGCTTCACTACTGGAACTTTAACATTATGCACTCCACACTGTATATAAATGCCACTTGTTTTGCACATATTCAACTCTGTATATTTTATATATTTTATTATTATTATTATTTTTTTTTTTTTTACTATTTAATTTGTAAAATGTGTACACACACACACACACACACGTAGGAAAATATTTAGTATATACATCCAGAAATGCATACACTATTATATATTGTACATATATTTATTAGTTTCAGGTTGGCCATTCTTGTATTTTGCTCGTTTGTGTTGTTGTGTTTGCACATCTCTGTTGCTTGTGGGGCTCGCACACAAGAATTTCACTCGCATGTGCTGTGCCAGTGTGCCTGCACATGTGATGTGACAATAAAAGTGATTTGATTTGATTTAGATTACTCCCAGATTTAAGAGCACCTTAGTCCAACAAATACGACAATAACCACGGCCGCTTGCATGTTCTGCAAAAAAATGTGCTTTGTCGTGTATCTGACGGACAAACACCAAACCAGTTCCACATCACTGAAGTTGCACCATTTTTACAAACCAATTCTGGTTCATCTGTTTCACTCAACAATCGGCCATGTGCGTATGAAAACAAAGGAACTGCGCATGCGCGTTTTACCCATATTCTATCGCGATATTTCATTTTCTTTTCGTTGCCTAACATTGTACCGGTATTACTGTAAACAGTATAATATGGCCCAGCCCTAATTACATCCTTTACTGGAAAAAGCTGGCAGGACCCAGAGCACCTGATTAACAAACTCTGATGTTAATTTTGTAGCTGCTCTATCCACCGCCGTTTGTTTTACAGAGAAAAATCTGCAGAAAATCTCCAGTCGTATTAACATATATTCAACTTAACTTAATATTAATCAACATATACACCATCAGTGCTGGCCTCTCTGCACTGGCTGCCTGTGTCTTTTAGAGTTAATTTTAAAATTCTTATGTTTGTTTTTAAATGCCTTCACAGTCTTGCCCCGCCTTACCTCTCTGAGCTTCTTCATCCCCACATACCCTGTCGGTCTCTCAGGTCAGCTGACCAGCTGCTCCTGGAGGTACCGAGATCCAGGAGGAAGCTCAGAGGGGGCGGGGCCTTCTCTATTGTGGCTCCAAAATTATGGAATAATTTGCCCATGCATGTTAGAGAGGCCCCTTCACTGTCCACTTTTAAATCACGTCTTAAAACCCACTTTTATTCCTTGGCTTCTAACCTCAGTGAGACTTAGTTTCTTTTTTAATGCAGTAGTTATTTAATTAATGATTTCACTCTTCTTTTATTTGTTTTTTATTTATATCTCATGTAATTTTATTTTACAGTTCCAATGTACAGCACTTTGTGTCAGCTGTGGTTGTTTTAAAGTGCTTTATAAATAAAGTTGATGATGATGATGATGATGATAACAGTTTTTGGACAGCACAAAAAGCACAGGACAAACTTCAGAATGCTTGCTTGTGGTCTCTGGTTATCACCGACGCTTGTGGCACACATAGAGGCTTTAATGTTAGAAAGTGCTTGAACAGGTGCGATCGAAGCTTGTAGTAGATCACTTTATCATATACTAGCAGGTCTGTGCTGCTGTTCGTGGAAACTGCGGATGCCACAGTTGGAACACGAGTATATATAAACAAATGGCAGCATTTTAAGTATAATAGGGAGGCATCTGTGAGGCTCCGGCCTTCGGGCTGACAACGAGACTACACCCCCCACTGAAGATAATCACTCTTTGACCTGCTGTCTTTAAATCCCCGACACGTTCTGCCGTGACTTCCTGAAATGTTCTGTTTACTGCTGCTGAACCCGACAGCCGCATCTGTAGCACGATGCTAACGTTAGCTTAGCAGCACTAGCACAACACTGAGCCTGTTTCCAGCAGCAGCGACTAAACTAACCTTCTCTTCTTGCCTCCATTTCCGCTTTTAAATCCACATCCGGTGGTTCACTGTGTCAGTCCACCTCTGCTCCGTCCACAGAACTGGACTCTGGAGAACTTTCTGGTTCCAGCTGTAATTCTCTCTGCTAAGCGAGAACAGCGTGAAGTCCGCTCAACTGGCCGCTATCACTTCCGGCACATTTTTCAAAATAAAACCACAACGCTAAAGCAAGCCCATGTCATCAGAATCCTTTATTAATCCACATGATCCCTAAGGAAATCATGTGGTTACTGTTGCTCCGAGACAACAACAGTAACAACCTGGACTAAGTTAAATATTACAATAAATTACAAAGTTGCAAAATTTAAGAAAGAGCTTAAGAAAAAGCTCTAATATATACAAAAAAAAGCTTTATTATAAAAATCCAGAATATTACAGAGATTAAATATATATTATTGTCATTTTACTCTCAACTGTAAAACTTTGTTATTTTGTTATTTTGACTGGTAGAGGATGTGCAGATATTAAGGGTGTGCATTAGATGGAGATAGAGCCACAGGCAGGAGTGATTTCCTCAGTGGTGCATTTGGAAAATCTTAGTGTCTCACTGAACACACTCCTGTGACTGGCCAGCACCTCATGAAGTGTGACGCCACCTTATTAAGAGAATCCAGCTCCATCCCCACAACATCACTGGCCTTTCAGATCAGCTTTTCCTGCTGCCCCAGCATGACACAGCATAGAGGATGGACTCATAGAAAATCCTGAGCATTGGCTGAAAGAACAGCCTCAGCCCCTCAGAAAATAGAGTCCCTGTGAGAAAATAGAGTCCCTGTGAGTACCTGTTTGTGCACACAGGTGTACACACAGGTACACCTAAGTACCTTTGTGTACCTGAATTAATGAAGTCTTGTTCTTTCAGTAATAATGTGTTAAATTTCCAGCTCCTAATTAGTGGTCTGACTCTTTTCTGTGTCAGAGAGATAGATTCTGGTGCAGGATCACTGACAATGACAGGATGAATCTGAATGCCTGTGATGCTCAGGCACGTGCAGAGGGGGGGCTAGAGGGGCTTGAGCACCCGCCCCTTTCCTGATGGGTGCCCAAAGTGCACTTTTGTTGAGGCAACTTTTAAATTTTTTTTATTTATTTTTTTATTTTTTATGTGTGTGTGCGTGCGGAGTCCTGTCTGTGCCCCTCAACAATAATATTTAATTATTAATCATAGTTTTGCTAAATAAAAGGATCTGGCTTGCATCAGTCACATGATCACATTTAACCAATGATCGCCCTCGACGGCAGAACGCGCTGGTTACGAGCCGGGAACGAGCTCACAAAGAGCGCGCGCATTTGTTGCGGTCCGGAGCTGCAGAGAAACACAAGTTAACTCAGAGACACAGACTGATGCGACACAACCAGTAAGTAGGTGTACAGCGCACACTGTAGTGTGTAGCACACAGGAGTATTAGCTTATTACGTACACGTTGGTAAGATGTCTTGTTGCAACTGACGAACTGAAACAAACGAGCGTGCTGTGTGTGCAACAGCGCGACACACATTACCTGTCCTTTTATTAACTGCACAGGTAGTGCTGGTCACAGCTGCTGGCTACCTGTGTAAGGCTGTCATGGATCTGTAGCTCTGTCACCGTTTTAGGGAACATATTTAGTTTTAAAGTATTTAGAACATATTTAGTTTTAAAGTATTTAGAAACAGATTTAGTTTTAAAGTATTTAGAAACAGATTTAGTTTTAAAGTATTTAGAAACAGATTTAGTTTTAAAGTATTTAGAAACAGATTTAGTTTTAAAGTATTTTGAACATATTTAGTTTTAAAGTATTTTGAACATATTTAGTTTTAAAGTATTTTGAACATATTTAGTTTTAAAGTATTTTGAACATATTTAGTTTTAAAGTAAGTTTCCGGGCTTTTCCTGCCTTTCTGGAGGGATTATATTTCACTAAAAAACGATCTAATATGCATGTCCACATAATTATGCATTATTATAATTATAATATATTAAAAAACACAAGCTGTATTTTAAAGAACATACATTAAGAAGCAGATCCCCCCAGGGATCAATAAAGTATTCTGATTCTGATTCTGATATTAGATTTATATTTTAAATAAGACAAAATTTAGATTTTACAGCAGTAAAATTATTGTATCAGTTTAAAAATGTAATAAGCTTTGCCCTGCACAGAGTGGATAGTGAAACAAATGCAATCATCATAAATACATTATTTCATATTTATTACTTCCCCCTCCTCATTGCTTTATTATTGTAGCTCTAGTAATAAATAATAATGTAAGGATGCCCATAGTATATACAGTATTCTGAAGAAGGTCTAAAATGTCACTGTGTGTGCGTGCATGTGTGTTTTATTTAGATGGATTTTTTTTTAAAAGTATTAATCATGATATAATATTGTGCAGACATGGCTGGTAAGGACATGAGGAGGAAACAGTAGGACAGGGCCGTTGCTAGCCATTTGGGTGCCCTAAGCACAAATGCTTTATGGTGCCCCCCCCCCCGCCACTGAAAAAAAAAAAAAAATTAATACTTTTGAATTTCTCAGTGGAATTTGTTTAATTAAATAACAACAAACATGACAGTTAAACAAATAAATAAGGTTAAAGGAGGTTAAAAATACTGTTACAAATAAATACTGAAACAAAAATTGAACATTGGAACAAGAACAAAGAGCCTGGCAATAATGTGTAATTGTTTTTATAAAAAAATAATATATATAATATAATAGTATTATTATTAATATATTTACAAATAGTTTCACAATAGAATTTAAATAAGAAACTTAAATAAGAAAAATAAGAATTTGAACACAAAAGCCACATTCCTTAAGTAACTATATTAAACATTTTTACAATTCGTTGTCAGAGTATGCCCTAGACTCTAGGGCATACTCTGACAACCAGAAAATGCAGGCGTGGTGTGCCTCTCTAGGGCCTAGAGAGGCACACGCCTGCATTTTCTGGTTGCAAAATCAGCTATAAGGTCATCATATGATAGCTTCTGAGCCACGTCACCATTGATGCTGATAACAGCTAGACCACTTAAACGTTCCTGCCCATTGATGAACGCAGGTACGTTTTAATGAGTTTGAGCTTTGAAAAGCTTCGCTCAGCAGAGGCAACTGTGACAGGCAGGGTCAGTGCAATACGCAGAGCAATCCACAGATTGGGATATACCTCTTGAAGCTGATTGTCATGTAAAAATGACAGCATTTCCAAAGCAGACGTCTGTGGTGGCAGCTGAGGAAGGTTGATGATTTCCTGCATCATCTCAGGTCCATCAATGTCAGCTACTCCCTTATCTGTCAGTGTCTTCTGTACTTCAGTGCAGTGTTTTTTTAAATCCTCCTTGGACATCCCATTCACTTTGCTGAAATCAAGCAGCACTCCATATTTCTCCTTCACTTGATTCATGGTCTCAAACCTCTCCTGTAGGGAGATTAAAGCAGAGTCCACAACACAATTGAAAAATGTGACCTCAAGCTTTCTCTGCATACAAGAGAAAATATTCAGGGATTTTACAGAAATACAATTTTGAATCTACAGTAGGCCTACGAAAGATTGCATTATAAGACTAATAAATTAAGTAAGTCACTGGTACATTTAAAAATTACTAACTATATTTTACATGTATAGATTTTCATAATGGCAAATGGCAATATAAACATGCTGTACATAATTTGATATAAATGCGCAAGTAGGAAATCTATATTACTGGAAGATATAGGTTTCATATTACAGTTTCACCAACAGATGTCGCCCTTGATCTATGAACCTAAAGAAAGACGAGAACTATTTATGTGTTCAGACGTCAATGGCATAAATAAGATATGCGTCTTTATAGATATCCTGAAATGCAGCAACATACAAAGTAATCTTGTCTAATCTGATAATAATACTTGACTGCATCACTGACCTATCCCAAAGTTAAGGTTAATCAGTAGCATGCATGACGTTAGCCAGCTAGCAACCTGAGGAGGGAAATGCTAGTCTCACGAATCACGATAACGTTAGCAATCGTGAGTCACGATTGCTAACGTTATCTGAAAACCGTCAATTGAGTGACCATGATGAGTTGCTTTTAGTAGTCCATTCTATATTCATATCCACAACGTAAACAAACTACCCAACATCAATCATTTGCAACATTTGTTAACACAGTATGAACACTGCTAACAGGAGCTATCACAGAGTTGACGGACATGAGCGTGCAAGCAAGGGCTACAATAATGAACTTTTTTTATTATTATTATTTAAACATTGCCTTACCGGCAAGCGACGCCTGAGTTTCATCACGCTTCCTCTTCTTCTTTCTTTTCTCCGCTCCCGACTCCTGTTGCCGTTTCGAGGCCATGTTCAAACAGGTGTTTACCAATTATAGAACAGACCACTGGGAGTGGGGGGTCACCAGGAGGAGACTGGAGACAGGGCACAAAGCAGATTCACCCCTTTTCTCGGGAAAATTGTTTTATGTTGCTTTTGTATTGTTTAACCATATTAATGCATATGATATTTATAGTATTAATATGGTTTACTTTTTTTTTTTACGACCCTGATTTTTTTGGTGCCCTACCGGCCATTTGGTGCCCTACGCAGTGTGCGTTATGTGCGTTTGCGGAGCTACGGCACTGCAGTAGGAGCTGTGTGAGGCTACTAAAGGCAGGGCTATAACATTTTTCTGTCATCATTTTATTTTAGATTAAGTGCTGGAGTTGTTAGGTGTGGATAATTAGATTATAGTTTATTGCAATAGCAAGTTGTGCCTTGTTCTCAGATAGCAAGTGGAGAGTGATATATGAAATGATGGGAAGGAAGGAAGAAGAGAAGCAAAGAGTGATTCACAGGCAGAGCCTAAATTATTTCTCACAGTTTTTTGTTGCCTTATGGTTCCAAGCGCTGTCACCAATCTTTGCACTTTGTTATTATCTCATGACACTTGTTTAATCAGCTTCCATCTCTCCTATGGACTTTTTAATGTCTACAGTCTCAGATCAACACAGCCCTGCCCCTCCCATATTAGATTCTTGATGAATGTGTGTTGTTGTTATTCAGCCTGGTTCAATGTGCCCCTTTTTAACTTTGAGCACCCGCCCCTTTAAACCTCTCTGCACGGCCCTGGTGATGCTGCTAACTAAAAAAGCAGCCTAAACCAGAT